GTGGATCACAACAAATTGTGGCAAGTTCTTAAAGAGCTGGGAGTACCTGACCATCTTATTTGTCTCTTGAGAAACCTATATGCGGGTCAAGAAGCAACAGTGAGAACAGGACATGGAACCACTGATTGGTTCAAAATTGAGAAAGGAGTTTGGCAAGGCTGTATACTGTCGCCCTGCCTATTTAACTTATATGCAGAGCACATCATGAGAAAGGTGGGCCTAGATGAATCACCAGTTGGAATAAAGATTGCTGGGAGAAATATAAACAACCTCAAATATGCAGATGATGCCACTCTCATGGCAGAAAGTGAAGAGAACTAAAGAACCTCTTGATGTGGGTGAAGGAGGAGAGTGCAAAAGTTGGCTTGAAACTCAACATTAAAAAAACTAAGATCATGGCATCCGGTCCTCTCACTTCCTGGCAAATAGATGGGGAAGAAATGGAGGTAGTGACACATTTTATTTTTCTGGGCTCCAAGATCACCGCAGATGGGGACTGCAGCCAAGAAATTAAAAGACACTTGCTCCTGGGGAGGAAAGCTATGGCAAATCTAGACAGCATACTAAAAAGCAGAGACATTACCCTGCCAACAAAAGTGTGTGTAGTCAAGGCTATGGTTTTCCCAGTTGCAATGTATGGCTGTGAAACTTAGACCATAAGGAAGGCTGAGCACCAAAGGATTGAGGCCTTTGAATTGTGGTGCTGGAGGAGACTCCTGCGAGTCCCTTGGACTGCAAGGTGATCAGACCAGTCAGTCCTAGAGGAGATCAACCCAGACTGCGCCTTAGAAGGCCAGATACTGAAGATGAAACTCAAATACTTTGGCCACCTAATGAGAAGGAAGGACTCCCTGGAGAAGAGCCTAATGCTGGGAACAATAGATGGCAAAAGAAGAAGGGGACGGCAGAGGATGAGGTGGCTAGATGGAGTCACTGAAGCAGTCGGTGTGAGCTTAAGTGGACTCCGGGGGATGGTGGAGGACAGGAATGTTGTCCATGGGGTTGCGACGGGTCGGACACGACTTTGCGACTAACAACAACAACAAAGAAAAAGGGACTTAAGGGAGACTTAAAGATCTTTTCAATCCTAAAGGAAATCAACCCTGTTCTTTAGAAGGCTAGATACTGAAGCTGAAGTTCAGAAACTTTGGCCGCCTAATGAAAAGGAATGACTCATTGGAAATGACCCTGTTGCTGGGAATGATTGAAGGTAAAAGGGGAAGGGGATGGCAGAGGCTGAGGTAGCTGCAAGGGGTCACTGGGGAGGCGGGTGTGAGGTTGGGTGGGCTCCAGGGAACAATGGAGGACAGGAGTACCTGGAGGAAAGTTGTTCATGGGGTTGTGAAGAGTCGGACACAAATTTGCGACTAAACAACAACAAAAAAGATCTTTTCCCAGAAGTGAACGCAAAACTCTATGCTTCTTTGATGGTTTGAACTTTTAATTTATTGCAGTAATGAACACAAATATCCCCTTGTATCAAAGGGGAATTACGCCTGAGTGCAACCACTACATGGAGGAAATAGCTGCTTAGTGTTAGAACCTATCATAATTCAAAATATGTTCAAAATATGGGCAAATCTGAAGTAGAAGCAGGTGTTCCAGCAGTGTTGGGAATTTCTGGGAGTATCAGGAAAGGAGCGACAGGGTGGTGGGTAATACAGAATACTTTACTTTTAGATTAAAAAATAATTCATATTCTTGGGGTTCTGAGAAAGATTTGTTTGGCCCCTGAAGGGCAACAAAGTCTATCATGGAGGTGATGACTGTAATTAAGATATAGCTTGAGAATTTACCATTTCTTTCTAACAAAGATTGGAATAAATTTCTTCTCTAACAAAGATTTAATTGCAGCAGAATACATTAAATGAACACTAGATTGTTATCAGCTACTGAGTTAACAACTAGACTTACATAAAGGCTGAAGAGGAAATGGCCGGCTGACAAAAAGGCTACAAAAGAAATTTCTTTTTGAACACAGAAGTTGGATGTTTCTGAGGTGGCTAATTCAGACCACTGGAATGTGAACTAAATGTTCTGAGACATCCCTGAAGCCTAAGAAAACTTAGTAGGAAGTGGGTTACTTCATACTGCTCTGTTTTTCCTTCACAAAAGTAATCTTATACGAAAAGTGGGTGTGTTAGGAATCCTTGCATCTCACTGGCATCAATTAAGCTACCTTCTTCCGTATTTGCCCTCCTGCCCCCTGAGATCAGCAGCAGAGGCCCTCCTCTGGGAACCCTCCGTAAAAGACATTAGGATGTAAAATACTCAGAGGAGGGCTTTCTCTGCGGTGGTGCCCCACCTATGGAATGTATTCCCCAGAGAGGTCTGCCTGGCGCCGTCGTTATTTGTTTTTTGGCGCCAGGCTAAGACCTTTTTATTTCAATAATATTTCAATAACTTTTAATATTAGCTATATATGTTTTAATCTGCAGCCAGGGTGGATCTGGAATTTATTTGTATTATGTTTTATTCTATTCTTATTTATTTATGTAAGCTGTCCTGAGGCTCTGCGAAAGGATGGCATATAAATATTCTAAATAAATATTCTAAATAAATAAATGACTTGCACTTAATTTTAGAGTATCAGTTTCTATAGCCTGCCCTCTTTCCAGTGTCAGATGTTCCAGGCGTCAAGGGTGGGCTTGGTTAGGCACTGGCTCAGGATGCACCCTCCAGCAGGCACCCCATGACAAGACCTCCCAGAACTGCTCCTTCTCTTCACTCTCACAACCTGCTTGCTCACCTGCCTCTTGTGCTAGTGGTGTATGGGAGCAGTAGCTGCTGCCGCTTGCTGTCTCTTTGTCTGTCAAACAAGCAAGTGGTAGCAGCAATGGGGAAGAGCAACAGCAATTGGTGACAATGGCAGTGAGAAGGGCAACTTACTGAGGGAAGAGGCTATTGAAGATGTCTTGCCCAAGAGCCCTCGAAATTCTAGGGCTGGCACTATGCTGCCCATTCAGCTCACCACAGTCCTATATGGGCATATTCAGAATAAACCTGACTAAGCTCACTTGGGCTTACTTGAAGGTAAGGCCAGGTGTAATCCTAATCTGTATCCCAGGATACTTCTAGGTGAGGCTTGTATTGTGCAATACCCCTGCCTTAAAGACAGACAGTGCATGGGTTGGCCCAGATCTCATCACCTTCCACTTGCAACCCTGCTGTTTTTTCCACTGGTTCTAACTGTTTTCCTAGCAGAAAATCTCTGTTAGTCAGAACAGACAGCATAGGTGCAAAATGCCTTTTGACTGGTAAAGCTAGAGCTCCCCACATAGAAGCACCCCAGTCTCTAGATTCTGCCTCATATCTTGTCACCATACATGGTATGAAATGTGGGACTAGTGGTTCCAAAGATGTAAAATGTTAAAAGATGCTTCAATTCTGAGGCAGAGCATTGCATGGGCAGAAACAGAGGGAAAGGATTCTCTTCCTTAAAGAAGTCTACTTCACACATGACAAATCCATATTTAGAGAATCTCATCCATGTAGGGGAAATTTCATCTGTTTGCATTCCATCATGTATGACAAATATACACCATTTCACAGCATGCATGCATTTTGGGAAGTCATGATTGGTGGTCATTTTGCACAAAATACATACACATTGAAGCAGACATATGTTGCCACATGTGACACAGATGAATGCAGTCTCCTGAAAGAAAGTGCCATCTTTCTCAAAGATTGGCCATGTATCTCTGTAAAGATTGACCATAAACAACAGATCTTGCTTTAATGGGGTGTTAACTGAATGAAGAAAAGAAGGGAGCTGGTGACCCTGTGCACGCACTCTCCATGCGATTAGCTGTTAGCAGATCATCTATTGTAGTCTCACATTTTAGCCCCCTGCTGCACACATTCTTTGCAGGCATCATTTTAACCTACAGGAAACATAGTCCTACACAGGCTGTTGGTGCCCCCTATGCATCTCCCTTCCCTTCCTCCTCCTCCTCCCTTCCACCAAAGCATCCTTTCCCCCACTTCCCCATATTCCGCACCTCTGAAGCTGACGTGCACCTGCCTCTCCCCAGAACCCGGCAGCTGGGTGACCCTCTTGACGCTGACGCTCAGGGCCATGATGTTCTCAGGACTTGGCTTGGCACAGAACTGACCAGGTGCGACGCCTGCTCCCCAGGCAGGGCTCCACCTGTCCCTTCAGTGAGTCAGGCCTGGGGACTCACCAAGCAGGTTTGGCTGCCTGGACCCCACCCTCAAGTCACACAACATCCAATAATAGCACGTCTGCAAGAAGTGGGCAAGCACCAAATACTCCGTGACCCCAAATCCAGAAACATTGCTCTCCCTCAAGCAATCTGTTGAAACTGCAGCTGTTTCCTTGTCCGGCTCATGGAAACCCTGCTCACTGTCCATCCCTCTTTTCAAATGACCCACTATCCCCTGTATCAATTCCAATCCCCATGCCAGTATATTCACCACTGTATTCATAGGCAAACCGGAAAATATTTGCTTGTAAGTTCCATGACTTCTGGTTGAGTACCATGAGAAATACTTCTCACAGTATTTCTCCCTCTCCCCCCCCCCTTTATCTATTGACAGAAGAGTCTGCATGACTCTGCTCGAGTTTTGCTCCAAGATGTTGTTTGCTTCCTTTTCTCAATGACTTAAGCTAATCCCCACCCCAACCCTCAAACACACTTTGTTTTCAGTATTATTCTATCATGATTCTTTTGCAGCTCATATTTTCTTTATTTGGGAGTGTGGAGGGGAGTTCATATTTTATCCACAGTAGAACTAGAACTTTCTAAGAAGCTGTGATCCCTCTCCCCCAACAGGTTTTCTACAGTAAGAAAAAAGATGCAAAAGCCACAGAACAATCAGTGCTACAAGTAGAAGATGTTAACGATAGGACCCCTAGTAATGTTCTTGGGTCATTAATCTCATTTTTGTGAGCTGCCCAGAGAGCCCTGGGGCTATATGGTAGCATAAAGGTGTCATAAATAAATAAAATAATGAATAATAATCAGATGAGGCTGGACAATGAAACAATAAAAGTGTTGTCTGAAAACAACCACCTGACAGGTTCTGGTCTCAATCCATTTCCTGTGCAGGTATTTTCTTCTGTACCAGTGACTCATTGTGGGTGGAATGTCATGAGTTTATCTGCTAAAGCTAAGTGTGCGAGTGGTCATGTTTTGCAGCGAAGGACAGCTGCTGCTGGAGTGATTTCAGACAGGGGGTTCCTAGAGCCACCAAAGGCATCCCTCCCTTGGCAGGCTGCCTATTTGCTATGCGATGCACAGAGGGCAGACAGAGCACTTTATCCCTCTTTCATTCACTCTGTCTCCTCATGCAGCTACTGGCACCCCAGTGCTTAAATATAAAGCCACTGTCTTCATTGACACAGATCCTGAAATCATAGAATTGTGGACCTGGAAGTGACTGGGGAGATCATCTAATCCAGTTCCCTCTGCAGTGCAATATGCACCCACAGCATTCCTGACACTGGGACATCCAGCCTCTGATTCAAATGGTTCCTGCAAAAGAGAGCCTCCCAAGACTAATCCACTGCCAGACAGTTCTCACTGTTATGAAGTTTCTCTTGATGGTTTGTCCAAAGCTACTTTCTTGCAACTTCCAACAATTGGTTCTAGGCCTGCCCTCTGTTTCAGCTAGACCATTCCTGATGACTTACTCAACTAGTCACCCCTTGAATGTAATGGCTCCACCACCATCACCACCAGTGAAAGCAGTAGTGCTGAACTGGGATTGAACAAAATCCTAATTTTTATGGGATGGTTTTTATTTTATTGCACATACATCCTCATCAGTCCTCACTCTTCCAAGCTAAGCTATGATTTATTCCTGGAAATGAATGAATACCTAAGGCAATTTTCTTCCTCATTCTTGTGTTTACATCTTCTCTGGAAGAGCAAATCTCATGGGTGTGTGTGATTTATAAGTAGGGCGACGACAAGAGTTCCCATTTCTATATACGCTGAGCAGCAAACAAGGAAGTGAATCTGCCCTAAATGCATCTGTCCAACAAGTGCCCTTCAGAGTTGAATGAATTTCTGTTCATAGATTTCTACAAACCTGCTAAACTAACTGCTATTACATAATTGTTGCAAAGGAGTAGTTTACTAGGACAGTGTTTTTCATACTGCTTGACATCTTGATTGTTGCTATTTTTGTTTCAGTTCTGCTGGTTTCTGAAAACTGAAGGTGATTCCATATTTAATTTTCAGGGAAAGAATGCTATATGGAGAAAGAACTGTTGAGCATTTCAGAAACTTTATTTGAGACAACCAAAACGTAGATTGGGATAAAGATTGTGGCTCAACGATTTTCCAGTGCTGTGCTAACAGCACCCACAACCCAATGGCAATGGGTTGAGAAGGGCTTCTACACCTACTCACGATTAGCCGGGCAGCTAACGGGAAATCAAAGCACCTGTAACTACAAATATGCTGTGAAACTAGATTCCTGCCACTCCCAAGGTTTGGTTAGAGCCGCAAGCAAGGAGGAAGGCAACTGCATGAGTCACGTCAAAAGTACACATTTGCCCTACAGGCGTTGCTGCATTTAAGAACAAATCTACACCAGATCATATTTTGGGGGAACTGTGCAATTTAGTTCCACTAGTAGGCATAGAAATTCTTGCATATAGTTCAGCTGAGCATAAATTATGTGGCGTTGGTTTGTAGTATTGCTAATATGGAAGCAGCTAGATCTTTCTTTTCCATTCACCTCATGTAAGACTTAACATTAAACATACACATTATCTGAGCATTCCCATGCTTAATTGCCTAACACAAACTGCGTAACTGAAAGTTAAGGTTCAACTCAAAAGATTAAAGGTGCTTCTGAACAAGGCTTTTCTTATGCAATTCCTGCCATCTTTCATTTATAACTCTCCTGTCCTTTTCCATCTTTTCATTACCACACAAAGAAACAAAAAGGAGGGAAAGAAGGAATAACATTATAGTGCATTTTGATTGATAGTCATAGAAGCACAATTTAGTTGCACGTAGTACTGAAAAGTAAGTATATGACAACTCTTAAGTCAATACTAGAAATAGACACATTAAGAGTTACAGTCAACGTAATACTGTTTGATAAATGTATGCACACTCAGTTACAGAGCTGAGTGACTTTGGGCCAGTCACAGACTCGCAACCCAACCTACTTTACAGGGTGGTTGTTGTGAGTTTCAGACTGAAAATTCTGAGGAAGAGTTCCTTGAAAGGAAAAAAAGTTGGGATGTAAATATTAATAAATATTAAGATGACTGCCAGGCCTCCTCTTTTAATGCTTGATCATCAATGGGCTGTTTTCCTAGACATCAGCCTAAGTCCAGCCACCCTTATTTGGTTCAAAAGAATTGACTTCTATTTTTTGTGATTACAAATTTCAATACCCTGAAGAGGCATATGGAGTTTAGGGGCGAAGTGCAGTATACCAACATAAATATAACAGGAAAGCCATGTGTTTTATTTCAGACTCAGTGTGCCTTCAAAGGGAGAACCCTTTATATAGTTATTCAGTCTTTGTTTCCTTAACAGATTTTCTGCAATAAAAAGGAAGACAGAAGTAGCAGTGGGAAAGATGGGAGGACCATGACAGGAAGTTGTTTTCTGGATCCCTCATAAAATTCTGTACGTAATGCAAGACAATTGCACAATCAAAACCTGGTTTGGAAGCACTCTCTCTAGTCTTTTCTCAGACATTTCAAAGAGACATACTGAAATAAGCAACATCCTTCAACATAATCACTTTGGCTACGTAATTCTAATGAGAGTAAGTGACTTTTATCTGTTGAGTCACAACTCTTTGCATTATCAGTATTCAAAGTATTTCAAATTTATTTATATTGCTGTAATTGTTAGGGGAAAAACTGTCATCTTAGAAAAGGCCTATGAATACTGCACATGCACTATGAGGATTTCTATATGCAAGCTGTTTTTAGTACTGAGGGAGAAAAGTATCTCCCTACTTTCTACACACCATACAAAATATTGTACACCTCTAATCTCTCTCCCAGTAATCATTGCTTGCTTAAGCTAAGTCTCCTAATAGGCAAATTACTCCTTGATCCTTTTAGTTGCATTTTTCTGCACCTGTCCCAATTCCACAATATCCTTTTATAGGTGCAGTGACTACATCTCTAGACACTATTCCAGTGTGGTTGCACCAAAGATTTGAAACTTACATTTGCACAGCAGGTGAAGTTGTACCAACCATGCATCAGACTATTTACTACCATCCCAAGATCTCTCCTCTGTCCATGTACTTCCAGCTTGGCACACCATTTTCACACATACTGTACATGAAGTTGGGATCTTCTCTTTTTTTGCCCCAGTGTGCATCTCTTTACACTTGCTTACACTAAAGTTCATTTACCATCTTTATGTTCATTCACACAGTTAGGAGAAATCCTTTCAGAACTCTTTGCACTCCTTTTTTGTTTTAACCATCCTACATAATTGGGTGTCATTAACAAACCTGGCCACCTCACTGTCCACCCCTAATTCCAGGTTGTTTGAACAAGTTAAAAAGTATTGGTCCCAGTATTTGTCAGGCCTTGTTTATATCCATTGTAAAGATATTGTTTATACCAATCTGCTTTCTGATTGTCATGTGGTATTCTCCCTCCCTTCCAAGCAGATTAGGACGAAAAACTTTCTAACTAAAGTCTTTATTAATCCTGGCCATTCAGGTCAACTTTGTAATACTAAAGAAAAGCATTGCTGGAGTACATGATATGAAGCTGATTCCAAACCAAAAGGAGCTGTATCCATCTTCAGGGCACTTCTTGTTGCTTATGGGCCAATTGCCAAGAAGTCTGACATTTCTCAATTGAACCTTATGGGCCAACTGCTCAACCATGTTTCCCAAGGAACTTGGAATGATCTGGTTCTACTCAGCCACATGTCCTATCTCTGAGTCAGTTGGCCTTGGCCATTCCAATCCCACTGCTTCTTCTAGTTCTGATTGTGAATCTGAACGAACAACCATTTGCATGAAGTGCACCTAATCCCCTCCTCCATGACTTCTACATTTGCAGAGCTGTTATGAAAGGCAGGTTCCAAATTTGCCATTTACACCAGTGTTTTATGGTTTGTGAAGAAACACTTGTTCCCATCTTTTATCAAAATCAGGCATTCAAAAAAATATCCCCATATTCTTTACAGCATCTATAAAGCTGCCTTTTCAATGAAATTGTTTTCATTAATACTTTGATTTTTATTCAAATCAGAGAGACTGAAGAAATCTGGTTTAATGAAGATATTTAATACAGTTTGTAATACACAAGAAAACAATTCTTACATGAAGAACAGCCTTTTCATTACTCAGTCAGATAAAGCAGTGCAACAGATGGCATGTAATCTTTCCCCAAATAAATGGGTTTACTTGGCGATTTTTTTCATACCCACAACACTCCAAAGAACTCTGCTTATATTCCAAGCTGGGCCAAGCATATTTCCAGATCTGTGCCCTTTATTAGCATTCGCTCCCATGGAAAAGCACTGTGAATAAATTGTGCTAGATGATGTGCTAAATGAAGGATGACCAATAAATCAAGACTCCATGTTGACACAACAGTGATTGTGCTTGCAATCCAAAGAAGCACTGGGAAGGGAAGAATTTCTGCTTTGTATGCAAAAGGACTGGCATTTCTAGCAAAAGAGCCAGGTAGTAAAGGCTTCTACATGAAATCCTAGAAAGCCAGTACAAGTCAAACCAAATAAATAGTCTGACCAAGAGCAAAACAGCATTGTATGTTCACGCATAAGGGTTTGTGCATGTTTCAGCAAGGCCCAGCTTAGTTATTTAAGCACCAGCCCCCAATGGATCATGTTACACAAGTGCCTTGTGCAACCCCTCCTTTTTCAAAGAATGACTGACAGTGGAGTGTACAGAGCTGGTCTTAGACTCACATATGCATACACAATCCAAGTCCTGCTAAGAGCATGATGAGCTAGTTGTGCATGCTCTGCACTGTAGTTTACATTAGAATGGACCAGCGACTCCCAAACTATATGAGAAGGCACACTAGCATGCCGTTAGAGGACAGAACGAATAGCTAATACCATCGCTAAGCCCAGAAGCACCACCATTGTTCAGAAAGCAGTGGGTAGAATGAAGGTAGGATGTATACCTGTGCGTTTTTCGGGGAACTGGTTGAAATTTGTTTGTTTATCAAAAGCTGACTGATCTGTGCCTCACATTTAAATTCAAAAGGAAAACATTTGGTAAATGCTGGTATTGGTGAAAACTCTCAGCAGAAAAATCAGGAGAACTACCCAGGAATAACAGCTTACATAAGCAAAAGGCAGCACAATGCACTTTTACTTTGAACCAGTGTGGACTGATGCTTGCTTTCAGCAAAATCCTGCTCAGTGATGAAATCGTTAGCTTTGGAAAAGTAATCTTAAAAAATGAAAATATAAATGACCCACTTTACACAGTTACTAATATGCATTATACAGGCAGCCTCAGTGGTGAATACAGGCTAGAAGAGAAAGCATCAAGCCATTTCTGTTAGATTGTCTTACTGCTTTTATACTACTAGGGAAACAATAATCACATTAGAATTTAATTCCTTCTGTATATAATGTCTTTAAAAAAAGAAGAAAATGTAGATAAGAATTATCATAACAGATTCTAGGAATGAAGTCAAGGGTAACTTGTTCATTCAGCAGAATATGGTAGCATCATCCTGGGGTGCTCACAACCTGTAACCTGGCAGTGAGTATACTTTTTATACACCCACCAGAACTGAAAAATAACTGCTAATTTTCTGCTCAAAAGGAAAAGTTTGTTTTGAGGTGCAAAGCAGCATTAAAACGGCTGTGTGTTCTCTTCCTATCTACTTTACCTGCCATTTTCCCACCTTAGAAAATCAACCATCTCATTCTGGTCCATGTTTATAACAGGCCACGGAAATTACTTGAAGGGAAATAACTCACTGGAAGCAATTTTACTTTTTTCAAGTTTCACTGCACCTTTTGATACCAGAATGCTAACTTTAGATAAAATGTGAAATGATACATGATGCCATCATAAGACTCTGATATACTCAGTTCGTGAACGAGGAAATGGCTCCATCTGAGATTAAATAGAAGTTTCAAAAGAGGATGATCTTTGGCAGAGGTTTAACCTTATTGAGTATTTGGTATGATTAAATATTAATTTTCTCCTTATATAGTTTCTCTTATTCCAATGAAGTGTTTATACTATGTTTATATCATGTTTTAAAGTGCTTTTATACCAAAAAGTAGTAGGAAGCATGGAATGGATTTTCCAAAAATATTGCTAGATTTCTACAATCTAAAGTAGGCACTCAACTTTTGTCACACTTGAAATCACATGACAGCAGATACTGCAATAATGGACATCCTGGCTAGGTTATACAGCAATTGATTAAAAATACATTCCATTTCCTCCCATTATTTCCAGCTGCTAAATTAGAGAGAGAAAGACATTGTGCATTAGCACACTTCCCACAGATTGAAACATTCTGACGAAAATGCCCTTTGAAATGTAAACAGCATCACTAAAGATATATTTGCATTCAGTTTTTGGAACTGAAGATTAAGAAAAATGCTTTAAAATCCTTGGCACACCATAAATGCATGGTAGGAGTTAAGGCAATTGAAGTTTTTGGTTTGTATCGTTGCAAGGCTTCTCTCGATAATTAGGCACAGTAGAAGCTATCCAGCAACACATCATAAGTGATTAGATATCTTATATATGTAATTCAAATAGAAAAACTTTAAATAGATTTTCAATACATTCCAAACTGGAGAAAGAAATCACTTACAAGACAGCTATTTTTAGTAAATCATAAGAATATCTGGCCATTATTCTTTTTGCAGTCGGTGACAATACAAATACCCAACTTGTCTAAATTATGAGAAAATTATGTTTGCTAAATTATGAGAAAATGATTAGGTGCATTAAAGAAATCTGTACTAAGAATAATGCAATATCAACACTGTTATCAACTCGAATGACTGAGTTTAACTACTATTTTCTTTAAAAAGCCATTGATGTTTTTATTTGAACAAAAGGATGCACTTCATGCACCAGTAGGAAAGCAGGTATGGGCACTAGTGATGTGGTGATATAACAAGTGTAGCAAGTCCCACCATATTCTGGAAGTCATAGCCAAATGTCAGGTTTTGTACCTTCAGCAGAACATTAAAGAGGGCTAGAAACTTGCTTTAAAAATAAAATCCAAGATTCTCTACAAAATTCTGTATTTCATAGAATTCTTCAGTGCATTCAAGTACACAGAATGCAAACACGTATGGCCATGATTATTAATTTGAGATATCCACTAGCTTCCCATTAAGAACTACCAATAGCACCAATATTCCTATATATTGCCTGCAAGCATTATATGCCTGATATATAGGTAGAAAGAACAGAGATGTTATTTAGAATGCAGAGTAATACATGCTGGAAGGAAAAGGTCTATTCTTTAGACAGCTGTATGTAGTGTATTCTTTCTTTCCTTATAAATGGAGATGTAAAGATCTGCTTTATGTCTGCTTTCCTCCAGGTAATTTCACAGGAGTCAGGCCGACCATCTTGAAGTAGGACACCAATTGCTTGGGAACCTCAGCCAACACTGTCTGGGAAAGTGCCTCACGAGGAGCCTATGAAGGAAAGCAGCAAGTATAAAGAACTAAATGCTACAACACACATTCAAATGCAGGTGTATCTTATGCTGCATAATGCAAGAAGAACGGAAAACAAATAATCCTTTCTTGGTCAAGTGACTGGATCCATAGCAGAACATATCTTACATTTAATCTAAAAAGTGGCATAATGAACAAGTGGGAAAAAGTTGCTGCTTTAATCTGTAGCTAAGCCCCAAGGGTCTGTTTAAATAAAAAAGCTCAATGGAACATATAAAAATAGGAGCTGCTTCATTCCAAAATACTAGGGCCTAGTGTTGCGACACTACTAATATATGATAATTGGTTAATTGGCCTATGACATGGATAAGGAAACTAAGGTTTCCCCCAGATGGTGTTGGTCTTCTACTCCCATAAGCATCATCCAACAAGGCCAATGATCTCGAAATATGGGGAAATCTGGAAGGCCACAGGTTTCCTACCCTGGTTTATCATTTTGGCAACTTCTAGATTAATATTCAAACAGCAGCAGGAAGGGACAGAATTTCAGTGAAGAACACAAAGGGATAAGCAACTTTCAAACCTAACATCTAAATATCTCTGTCAATCCATTTTCTTCAACACAGAATTACAACTTAGGACTTACCACACTTGGACCATGTTTCCTTGATCCCTTTCAGTAACCAGAAAGTATTGTTTAATACTGCCAAGAAATGAACACGTACTCTAATTATAACCATTTGCCAATTGGAAAAAATAGGCATTCTTTAACTTACATTTTGGAATTGTCTGAAAGGCACAAACTGGACAATATCTCGTGCAGCTGGCTCCCCACTCAAGGACTTCAGGACACCATCATCTCCATCTAGGAATTCCATGGCTTTAAACTCAGCACTGCCAACTCCAACAATAATAATAGACATGGGCAACTTCGAGGCATTGACAATGGCTCCTCTGGTTTGGTCCAGATCAGTGATTTCCCCATCTGTGATGATCAGCAAGACAAAGTATTGCTGCAAGAAATTAGGTCAGTTAATAGGGATTGCACTTCAAGACTTAGGTGAAGATAACCCTAACAAGTTCTCAGAATTAAAGAATGAGAGAAAGGGGCCGAGGGATAATAAGATCAAGATTTCCTTTTTATTTTTTTTCTATTTGTTTGAAACTTAAGTAAAAACAGCTGTGTCTTCATAAAACACAAACAGAAAAAAATGGATTACAATGCTCAAGAACAGAAAATTTACTTTAAAAACACAGCTCAGTTCTCAAGCTGTTTATTTGTTAGCTTTGCTAAATTTATTTTGGATGACAACTGGAATCAAGACACTAGTACTTTAACTCTATCCAATGAACATTGAGAAAACGGAGTTCAGAGAATGGAGCTTGCTCCCAAGTCCTGTTAGCATTTGAAGTTTCATGGCAGGCTAAATTTACAAGAGACAGGACACGAATATTTGCTTATTCTAAAAAGACTCTGGAAATCTGTGTTATCATTTTTTTTCCAATGCAGCTTCACTACATAAAGTAAACATTCAGAAGAAAAGATTTAACCAAGCAGACTCACAGAAGCAGTCTTTTGCTGGGCTGACTGCGCAGCAAACCTCGCAACATGATTTATAATAGGGGAGAAATTTGTTGGACCATAGAGACGAATTTGAGGCAACGCCTGGCGATACGCATCCACTATTCCTTGGATTCCTGAAATATGCAATCAGCAAGATTCACTGCAAAGGTTTTAAAATAGTATTTATAAGCATACTGTTCGTAAGTTGAATCCCTGAAAGAATTGAGAAATAACATCCACAATGGAGATAGCAATCTAGCTATATGTACCTGAAAAACTAAAGTTTAGCTGGAATCCCTGTTTTCATTGTTCCACCTCATTCACAGGAAAGGGGGAGATTTTCAGTGGCAAAAAAGTAAGTCTTATAGGATACAATATTGTTCTACAGAATTTCTTGGGAAGACATTGCAGCCGCCAGCCACCAAGAGGAGTGGCTATTTCAAGAAGGGTGAGCCCAGGGCAGCATCCTGAGACATTTCCCCTGCCCCATCTCCACATATCACATGGAAAAATTGCTACAGCAAACTTTCAGCCCAGCCAAAGCTGAATTTATGACTATTACTTATAGTCATTAAGTGCTTACTGCTTTCTAAGGCGATCCCAGAAAGGAGTGGGAATACTAGTTTCTGGAAGGCAGCAGGTCAGTAGAACAACCTTCTACAGACTCTGCCAACCTGTTCATTTTGCTTGGTTTTGACTGTTTCAGGCATTGCTTGCTTCCAATTGTACTAGCAGGACATCCTCCTAGTGAATGGATAGCTCTAATAAACTGGAAGAATGTGCTGATTGCCAAGCATTTTCCATGTCCTTTACTCAGCTCCAATTGTTCTAATGTAACAGTCAGGAATTCACACTTGCAGACCAAAAGATGCCACTCACAAATGATACCTACCTTTTACAAGCTTTGCCACTGTAACTCTGACACTGCTCAAAGCCCCAAAAGATTGATTAAAAAACAGAGAGCTGCTGCCCAGTTTCATCTTTATTCAAAATATTTAAGTTTAGTTCAGTGCAACAGCTTATTTGTTCAGCAGTCAAAGTTCTAACTTAAAGACTTTGTATTTTTAAAAGTTCTATCTAATGTCACTATATAACATAAATACCAATTTTCTGTGATTATTATTTGCCACTCACTCCCAGGAGAGGCTGAAGACTCCTCCCTGGTGCAAATTTGAAAGTCCTTAAAAATAAAGTGCTTGCCACACAAAAATACTACAGGAAACTTTATTATTTTGCATGCAAAGTGAAAGGTAACTCTCTTTATACATTTTGGCATGTCTTCTTCATCCCAATTGGTTAACAGTTTTAACTACTGATGTGCCTTACCTCTTTGCTTACTTAGGGTAATAAAGGATATAGTCTTGTTTATGAACACAAGTAACATATATATTGTTGCCTTTCACAAGGCTCTTTTACATTTCTGGTTGGAAAACAAAGAATAATTATGTTTTCTGATTGCCATTTTACCTTTATCAACAAGAATGCTTTCAACTTCCTTCTCATCTACTAGAGTGACCGTTTACATTCCTTAACATTTTCTCTGCACAGATTTAAACTCCCTTGTTAACCTTTATTCAACCTTCTAGTTAATCCTTTCCTTAACATTATTATACTGCTAGATATTTTTATCCTGCTTTTCCCATTTTAAATATGCTTAAAGTGGCTAGCAATATTTATAAAATACAAGCACAGTGCATTAAATTAAAACAGGACTACTCATTCACAAAAGCATTAAAAACTAACCTAGCCAGTTAAAAAGGGACTCTCAAAAGTGCTGAAAGTTAAGCAGTAATGGAGGTAGTCTGGCTTTGGAAGGGAAGTCCGTAATTGTGCCACAGCAAAAGAGAATCTGCCCCTAGTACTCACTCACTATTCCTCTGACTTCAGCAAAATAAAGAATAGGCTCCCAGTGGTGGCCACTCAATGTTCAAGAAGTTTTCTTGAGGATCAAGCAGTTTTTAACTGGCCTACATCTTACAGTAATCATGTACAGCTGGTGCAAAATAAGTCTAAAAAACTCAAGTTTTATGTATGAGGAAAGCCAATGGTTGTATGGGTGGGGAAAAAGATATTTGACCAAGATTCCTAATGGTGTGAGGCCTAGAAGCACAAGTTCCTGTCTTCTTTCACAGTTGCTTATCTTTGTACCTCTACACATATCCTGTCTAACACACTTCGCTTCTCCACTTTTCTGCAGCCTTTGTTGAATGTTGCCAGTGTTACAGAAACCCAAGCTTTACTGATGAGGTACAATTATGTGCCTATATTTTTAATACAGCAGAATCCCCATATCCATGAGGGTAAGTTCCAAGGCCCCCCCAGAGGATGTCCAAAACCATGGATAGTAGTGAACATTATATTTGTGGAAGAGATGCAGGACCTCCACAAAAGTGAGAAAAATGCAAATATCTCTAGGGAAAAACTATGAATCTTTCTAGAGTCTTCTTGTCCACTGAGAGACAAAACACATGAGTGAGGTGGCTGGTAGAGAGACAAAGAGCATGGCATCTCCAAACAGAGTGCATAGCTCCCTAGTGATGGTCATTGTTTTTCCCTATTTGTAGTTTTCCCACTTCATGGGGGTTCTGTGCCCCAAACTCTCATGAAAGTGGAGGGCTAACAGTCAACCTCATTCAAGTGAAACTATATTAACTGAGACAGCAGATACGGGGGTCCTGCTGTACCAGGATTCCCATGTACGAACACAGATAGATTGACAGTCACATCTCATCTGGATGGAAACTCTAGACAGCACTGCAGTTCCTACTACAATTTTTAATGAAAATTACTCTGTCTCCTTTTTCTTTTTAAAATCTTATTTCTGGACCAAGAAGATAAATATATGTTTACCTTGACAGTAGGGATTTGCAGGGTTAAAGTTCAAGGCAAATTCATGTGACACCTGGAAAGATGGATATAGTAAGTCATGTAGCCAACAGTGGCCAAATGCTCATAACAGTTCCTGAACTAAAAAGCCTACCTGCCAATCTGGAGGGACTTGAGCTCCAAATCCAAAAGCAGGAAACAGTTTGTCACTAAAAGATGAAGCAAAACATCAAAACAAAATGGACTGGTTATCTTCGTTTTTTTTCACTGCAGGCTAAACAAAATCAATCAAGGAAATAGCAAGCAGGGACTAATTAATGAGCTTTACCTACTGATATGATAAAAAGGGTATGCTGAAGTACACCCACATATTCAACTATTAGTGTTGAACAGTGTTTCCCTACACAACCACAATGAGTCTGATGCAGTAGATTTTAACTTAACAGTAAAAGTGAAGGTCATGAATTAGAACTTGAATATAATCTAAAGCAGAAACCCTTGTTATGTTTATGTCTTAGAAATGTTGCAAATTGTGGATGTATTTTAGGGCAGTATATATGCTAACTTTTTAGATATATTGCTTTTAATGGTTATGTTTTTAAATGCTACAAATTTGGATTTAGTGCAGAACATTCATTAATATAAAGCCCATACATATTTTGTTCTCAGTTGTATTATAAAATGTTGACAATATTTTAGGATGGAATTTTAACTGCAACCCTTAGGAAGGAAATTTCTTTACAAAATGCATTGGACATAATTTTAAAAAATTCTTCTGCAAACTTTTTTGCTTTTTGCTTTGATAAACAAAATGAAACACCCCTTACACAAACTGGCAGAAGCTGCACACTGCTATAGGAAACAGATTTTTTTTTCTAAGGTGGAACAAGCAGTAAGTTCCAGGGAGACAGTGTGGTGATCATTTCTAATGTTCACTTTATTCCACAGGATGTAGTGGAAGTTCCTGTTGAAATATGACTGTGCCCTCAACCTCTGTACTGAGGTGGGTACTGAGATTCGCTAGTATTATTTTAGGAGGAAGCAGAACAAGGAATAAAGCTGCTTATGCTCATGAAGAATCAGGAACATTTGAGGCGGCAAAGAAGACAGCTTTTTTGCCACTAAATTACAGCTATGACATGTGCAAGTGTGAGATAGATCAATAGTTAAGGCTTACAGAATTGAAGCTATGTAGCAGAACACATCACTAGGGATTATTCAGGGTTCTGTTATTCCACTGAATGAAGTACTTCCATTTGTGGAACTTGGGAGCTGGGGTGATTCCTCTTTACCCCTCAGCCCACCATGCACCCTCTGGGGAGCTAGTAAATATTCCAAAGCAAAATTTGGGTAGTCAGAGAGCTGCAGGGGTTAGAAGGTAGGGAGACAGTTCCAAAAAGCTAGTGGTCCTCTGCTAAAATGACAATGGATTTAAGCCTAAAATGTCACAGATTGTTAAAGGTTTTACCTAGCTAAAGAAAGTTTAACATACGTGTCATAATCCTGGATCACATTCCCGACTGTCCAGATGGCAGTAAGATATTCATTTATCCCATTTGGACTTATATAGTGAAGAGAATCTGGAGATTTTGGATCTCCATTGGAGCCAGTGAAATCTATGCCCACCTGGTAAGACAATAAAGAATACCAGTAAGTAAAGCAAATGTCTCTTTTCACAAAGGGTTGTCATGAAAGGCAATCCAACAGTCATGCAAACTGGCTTCAAGCTGACTTAATTCATCAATGCAGAATTTTACTGAAATAATCACTCAATGACCCAATTGTGTCACTGGCAGTAATCCAATTGGTTATAAACTAGATTCCTGCACTATGACCAGAGAGAAGAGACTGTTATATATTAAGAGCAGTGCATAGCATTATCCTTGACTAAAAAGACTGGTGAATTCATTTTATCTAGTCTGTAAGGTTAATATACAAGCATGATCCTTAGACATTGTCATTTCCAGTAAACAGGTTTTGTTCATATTAAGTAGCAACGGCTTTTTCACTGGAATATATAAATTCTTGTGAGTGTTTTTATTTAGAAATAAAAGGCATGCAAATAGATGAGTAACTCACAGTGAAATTAATCTGACAGCCTCCCATGATGAAATCCAAGAAAGAATACTCTGTTTCAATCTTTAAAAAAAAAAGCAAAACTGTTACAACTTATACCTTACAATAATAGAAAAGCCACCCATCCCACAGGTAATACTTCTTACCTTGCAGGATTTTATTCTAACAATGCCAGAGTTTTTGTAGCTCTTCTTCTTCCTCTTCTTTTCAGGGTGAATACACTCAAATTCTACCTACAGAAAAATAAGACACACAGAAGAAATGTTACGTTGTCAGTGAATCAGATCTTAAACTTTAAAATGTACAAGGAGTGCTGCTTTTGATAAGCTCTAACTTAGCTTGGAAAAATGCAGGCAATGAGCAGGCACAAGAAGAACCATTCTGAAGTTGCCTGCATTTTACACAAGGCACATGATAACAAATCATGACGTGCAACAGAAAATAAATACATTCACACAGCAGGTAACAATATAAAGATTCATGGATACTGGGACCTTGTGTGTAAAATACTGTCTGGTACCTTATGGTCCATTTAAAAATGAGGAGAAATCAATTATTTTTAGATTCTAGGATCATTTGCTGGGCTAGCTAGAAGGGTGTTGTTGACTCATGAAGACAGCTGTGCCTAAGCAGCTATTGAGACACAGTTAACTAAATATTGAAGATATTGAAAAAGATGGCAAGCACTGTAGATGGGCTGTATATATAAGACAGGCTCAGGGAAAGCAAATGCATTACTTGTAACAGTAGGGACGGTTAAACAGCGGGCCGTTGAGGGTGGCATAAGATCTTTTTTGGGGCCTGGATGAACCATTCCCTGTACCACCTGAAAGAGCTCCGCCGGACAGCATTGTGAGGAGGCAATGGAAGCGGAGAAGAATTTTTTCTTCGCCACCCTCACCGCCACAGCATAGGCCCGATAATGGGCTCTTAAGTGTGTTCGGTCAGATTCATCCTGTGATTTGACAAGGATTATAGTGATACAGAACTAGGAATGGAGTATCAGTTGGTATAGCAGAAGAAGGGGATGGAGCTAAAAATCAGTAAGTAATTCTGCTTTGGAGAGCAAAAGCTGCCTGATCAGATTTCTTGAGAAGCATACTATCCTTCTCAGTTTATGAAATATTCAGTCACTCCTGAACAAAATAACTTCTGTCCTAGTCACATATAATTTGAATCTATGGTGGTCAGGACCAACCCAGCCAATGCATTTCATATAGTTACTTTGTCTTTTGAGATCTAGCAGATCAAGGTGCTTACCACAATGGTCCCCATATTGTAGATTATAATAGAAAGGGATGTAGAGCTGCAAGTACATTTAATAGGACTTAGGACATGCCTTTAGAAGCAGCAGTTATATGTAAGGTTCAAGGAAATAAAACACAGAATTCACTTCCACTTCATTATTCTTCACTTCATTCACACATCAACAGACATATTTGCAAGCAATGTGAGTGGGAAGCCAAGCACAACATTATTATTTCTCAGATTCTTTACAAATGAGTCACAGGTTCATTTAATTAATAAAAGAATGTAAAAGTAAAAGCTCACCGGAGAGCTGCCTCCTGCACTCTGTAGCTGGGAGAGGTTAGTTTCAAAACTGCCTATCAAATCATGTGACCCATCACTGTCATAATCATAACAGTGCACCTGGAAGGAAAGAAACAGTAGGCAATGGACAGGGGGAACTTTTAAATAAAAAATTGCTGCTGCTCACCACTTGATCTCTCGCTTCCAACAGTTTTGCAGTGACGCATGTGAACTCCCCTATCAAATCTGAAGTGGTGTTGTCATCCATATCACTAACTGAAACCTGATAGTAAAAGAGACACCCAAAAATGAGTCCTTAAGAACCATATATACTCACCTACTGAGTATGCAACAGAAAGGCACCCAAATGCAAAGCAGAATTTTTAAAAAAGAGTGCTCCAAGGCTATTATACATAACCATCCAGTTACAGAAGCCAAGCGATCAAATGAAAACAGAAAGCAGAAATTAACCCTTGTATGTGTCTCCATAACATAAAATAATTGAAACTACAATACCGCACAAAAAGTAGATATCCACAGCAAAAAAGTCTTAAAACAAATGTGTCCCAAGACTAAATGGTATAATCCAAAGTTCTCACTCATTTAAGAACTTTGTGTGAATACTCCCTGGTAATATTCACTCATGCAAAGACCAGCAAGGCTCACATTAAAAAATCAACTCAAATATGACCTGAATGTCCATGCTAATACATTTAATTAGACATAAGAAATTATGCAACATAAGAAATTGAAAAAAGGATTCAAATGAAAATTGCTTTGTATTTGGAGCCTATAAGAAATTCGAATGAAACTATACTTAAAGAAAATGTGCCTTTCATGTTCTTTTTGGACTCGCTTGTCTGCAATATGCTAAAAATTTAAGAATTCTATTTAGATATGGTATATAGCAGGGATAGTCAATTTCGGGAGATCAGGAATCCATTTTTGCATCCTTGAACACTACCTACCCACCAGTTACAGTCCGCTGGGTGACCTAAAAATCATTTAAAAAAAATCTGTACAGAAAAAGGGCATACATCGCACTACAGAGCCCAAAAAGGTCAAATTTACCATGCTTGTAAGATAAATTTGGTTTGTTTAGTACTTTATAGCTAGAATTCCATCAGGGAAAGCGATACACTGCATCAGTTATAAGTACTTCCTCTTATCTCCCTTATTCTTGTTACATAACCCACAATTCACTATTGAACCTGCCTTGTTTGAAATTAATTTGTTTGCTAGCTTTTATTTAGTACAGGTACTTGATTTCCTGAAACAAAGATTTCAGGAGTCAAACAAAGTCATCTGGTCCAAAGCAAATATAGATTCCAAAGCTGTGGATGCTCTCACCCAGCATATTAATGCATATTATGAATAAAAAAGTAACATGGAATAGATCCCTGCAAGATCTACAAGACAAGTTTTAGAAAGTCACAGAAAAGCTTATTCATCCCTAATGTGCAGTGATAAAAGCAGAACTATCTCAGGAAGAGTTGCACTACGCATGCCAGTCCCCAGAGCTGTGCTATCACAAGCTGATAATCAACTGTATGAGCTTACAAAACCCAACAACAACTTTTCTGCTGCTAACCTCAGTATTGAGACAAACCACTGATACTAACAATGCACTCTCAGTTCCAAGCCAGGATACTTATGAAGGTTAAAACGGTTTATCCAGTTGTGTGGCAACTATTTTATAACCACAAATGTTTCTTAAGCAACTGCATGAGATATTTTGAAGTATGAAAATACTAGTTTCATGTATTAGGCCACAAAAACCTTAGCTTAAGACCAAAGTCAGGCATAATCAAAATGGCATTTCTGGCACACTCAGGTCATATTTTCAGTGTTTCCCAGAACCAGTAATACTACCGACTTACTTTGGAAAGTGAAAGCTGATATTTTAGGTCTTCATGAGCTTGGTCTTCAAAAGAAATAAATTTCTTAAGTGTGTAGGATTAAAATGTAAAAGCTAGTAAATGTTGTTATTATTTTTGGATAATATTCCTGCTCGCAAGAGGTACTACATAAACTGAAATCTATACAGAAACCTAACTTCATTCCCAGGTACCCAAAGAACAAGAATAAAGTTCCCAGCTCAGTTTAATAAAGGAGACAGGGGACTGGATCCAGATTTATTCATACTTACTATAGACCCATTAAAATACTAATTCAAGTTCCATTGATTCCTATGTACTGACTTGGTAAGCCCATTTCCAACCCAGAAAATACTTGATATTGCTAGTATTCCTAGTACTGTCAAAGCATATTTCTCTGCAGGGGCAACAAAAACAGGTAAGGAGGAGAGAGGGGAGAAGCATACAGAAGACTTTGGTACAAAAATCATGGCAAGCCAACTAAAACTCACACATTTATTTAAAAATCAGCCTTCATACCACAATAGCAGAGGTTGCAAAGTTAACAAAAACATCTCTAACCTATCTTTAAAACACTTTTAAAAATTCATTGTCATCACCTTGATCGGTTTGTTGAAGTCACTACCACAGAATGTTTGCAGAGGAACAGTGAACTTTCTCCAGCAAGGATTTAAATTGTTTTTGATTACCTATATACAAAAAAGCAAACACAATCAATGCTTACTGCAAAAGGGACAACACTCCTGTTTTCTCACCCCTAAAACTCTAGTTAGGTCCTTCATATTGCTGTCAATTTTTCAATTAGCATTTTATGGAAATTATGCCAGTTTTTAAATTAATTCAATTGTATATGTTGTTCCAGACAGCCCATATCCTGCTTAAATTTTCTGAATGAAAAGTAGTTAAATCATTCTTTTATGACATCACCAAGAATAGCTTTATGCAAATATCTGAGGACATTTCACTATTGAGTGAGTATTTGTCTATTATGTACAGACCCGTATTTTTAACTGATTCCCAGTTTTATATCTCAGTATCTCAACCTGTTCATGCCTGCCAAATGAAGATTCATTGTACAGTCTGAGTACAAAAATTAGAAAGCTGGGTACTTACCATGAAATTCCTTTCAGATTTGAAATGGAGGAGACATCCATCATGGATTGGCTCCTCTCACTAACCAGGATAGGCAAAGGCCATGTGACCAGGCCTTTTGCTTTAGTCCTGGTTTCCATAGCTCTTCCTAGCCAGTTCTTGACTAGTCAACCTTTTAGACAGAGTAGGAGCAGCCAGGAACAAAGAAGGAAGAAAATGTAGAGAGGAATGAAGAGCCAGAAAACCCAACTTTATGGGACTGGCACAATCTCTCTGAAAAAATGTAATTACCAAGATTGTTCAGCCTGCCAAAGGATGATTGTCTGCTGTACCCTCAGTTTGAATGGAACTTCACAGTAAGCACTCAAATTTTCATGCCCAGCCACTGCAAGTAGACATTCAATATATAATGAACAAATCCTACTATTCCCCTAGAGAGGGCCCCAAGTAGCCTGAAGCTAAGTTTGAGAGAGAAGCTGTTTTAACTCTTTGGAGTCAAAGGCTAGTTCAGCCAAAGCATGTGTGTTTCATTTATAATGCCTAAGCAATGCATGATTGAAATGATCAAGTAGCTGCCCTGCAGATCTCCACTAAAGGAATGACAGTAGAAGAAAAAAGTCACTGAGGCAGCTGCTGCTGTGGAGTTGGTTGATTTAGGGAGTTTTTCAGCCCCACAGGCTGCAAATATATATGCCTTGCACCACACAAAAATAGTGGTTTGGGTCAGCTGTAACATCTGGGATGTGGTAGACCTGCTCAGAGTGATAAAAAGAAATAGGGCAGAAGGAGAGGAGAACTATTTCTTGTGTTCTGTGTAAAAATAGTGTCGATTCTGGGGAAAAAAGAAAGAACCTGGCCAAAGAAGGAAAGAGTTCTTGCTGAAAGAGTGATCTCTGATAGTGTGTGCAGCTAATTCTGAGACCTTCTGGGCTGAAAAACAGCACTTTGAGAGAGAGACAATGTAGTGAGGCAGTTCTCATAGCTCAACATGGAGACTTCAAGTTGGGAAGGACACTGCAGTGTTGCCACTCCATGAGAACTTGCTGAAAGTACAGGTAAGAACCAATCTAAAGCTGTAGCTTGTTGGTGAAGCATTTTCCCTTTGAGACCAGGTCTAGGCCTGTTCTTGTTTCTTGAAAGAAAAATTAGAACAAGCCTTTTCTGGGAGATAGCAAGGGACTAAACGGCTGGGAGGAGCCACAGAGGCTACGACCATGGCAAAGAGACTGGTCACATGTTCCTTGCCTGCCATGGGAAGTGGGAGCAATTAACCTATGATGGCTGCCTACTCCCACTGATGGAAATTGGAGACACTACAGCTCTAGAACTTAAAGAATTGTTACAATGCCAGTTTGAATTTTTTTCCTTCCAGACATCCCTATTGGCTCGCTCATTGTTGACTAACTGTGGAAAAATTGACATTGGATTGGGTCTTGAGAAAATACCTGCAGAAGGCAGCTGCAGCCCACTCTCCTCACTAAAAGTCATTCCCAAGGGTCAGACTGGGATAGAAAATAAGGAACACCCCTAAATCACATGAAAGCATCTTACAAAAATGGAGTATGTGCCTCTGCCTGACTTTGGCAAAGAAAGCACAGCTTAGTTCTTATGCAGTTATGTAACTCTCTCATGAGACAACAGCTTCTGATGTGTGTAGAGCAGGGGTCTCAAACTCAACTTACCTGGAGGCCGCTGGAAGTAGAGTCTGGGTGAGGCTGGGCCGCATCAAGTATTCCACCACCGCCCGGGCGCCGCCGGCGCTTTGAAGGCCGCAGGGCCCCTCCCCTGTGCCCCGCCCATCCCGGCAATTGGCCCGCGGGCCGCGAGTTTGAGACCCCTGGTGTAGAGTGAATCACTGTTGAAATCCTACCTCTGATCTGTAGACAAGCTGCCATTTTCCACTTTCACTTTGTTTATAAAACTCCAAAAATGGATCAGACTTGCCCAGAAAATCCTGTATTAGAAAAAAGACACCTGTTTATACATACATACAGCAGAACATCACAGAACACACGCATGCACACACATGCAAAACAGGAATAGCTATAGCCTTTCATTTCTACCAAATGTTTCAGCTTCTACCTCTTCCAGTGAGTTTAGAAAGCTGAAACATAATTACACAAAGTATCACTTAAAGAATGTTAGCATTGTGGATGGAATTTATCCTCCAAATCAAGCCATTCGACATAAATTACCTGGTTTGCACATAATGCTAATCCAGGTTTATTTAAAACATATTTGTCTGGCATATGATTAAATAAACCATAATTTGTTTTAATTCCTGGTCTTCTTCACCCTCTTCTACCCTGTATCCCAAATGCCTTTGTGGCACCATAGCACAGTAGTTACAGTAGTTACACAGTAGTTACTGTGTGTTTTTGGTTTTGGTTTTTTACCACACCTGCTGCTTCCGTAGATTAATAAATAACCCATAAATAACCCAGAGTTTTGGACTCACATACAACAACAACCCATAGTTTAAAGAACCTGAAGTTAAGAATGCAACAAAAACAATGTAATATATTTCTGGGTTATTTGCAATTAACATACCATGGTTTGTTAGCATGGTCACATTCATGTATCATGACAATCCAGAATTCAAAAATCCATAGGTTAAATAAACTATGGGTTCGCATTACATGAACAAGGCAATGTATCATGGTGTTTTTTTGTTTCATGGATTACTGGTAATCCACGAAACCAGTAATCCAATCCTTGGAGAGAATAACACCACCCCCTGAACTTCTCTTGCTGGGAATTTCATCTACAACACTAACATTCTGTATCTGTCATCATGGGGAACTTTCAGCTCTTATATTACTAACTAACAAAGGAACAAGTCAAAATATTTTATAGAAATTAAAGAAATTTGTTTTGTCAATCCCTTTATTCAAATAATGACCCTATCACAGTTGGTGGTCTCCCACTTAGATGCAGGATTTGCCTGATTGCAGCTCTGTTTAGTTGCTTTTCATATGCATAAATAATTATAAGTAACTACTAGCAAAATATGTTAAGATATTTCTGTTTAGGCTTTTTCCATTTAGTGGTCTGCAAAGAGAATGTGCCCTTCTCAGCTAAGGCAAGTACATCATGCACCAGAATCCACTTTAGGGAGTGCTACATTTATTTATTTATCTATTTATTCAAGACATTTATGTATCATTCCCATTATTCAGTGATCCTCAGGATGGTTTACAACATATTAAAAATTTAAAACATAATCTACAATACCAAATAAATTATACAATCACAAACCAATCAAAATATCACACTATAAAATGTGATAAAACAGAGGATAAGATATATAATCTAATAAAAATTATAAAATTAAATCAAAAGCAAATTAAGCAAACAAATAACCCCCATGACATATAAAATAAATAAGCTAAAAATGTAAAAATTTAAACAGAACACTGTGAAAATAAAAAGGTTTTGGCCTGGCACTGAAAGGTATATAGTGTCGGCACCAGGCACGCCTCTCTGGGGAGATGATTCCATAACCAGGACACCATTGCTGAAAAGGCCCGTCTCTGGGTAGCCACCTTCCTTATATCATTCACAAAGTATATTAGCACTGTGAAATCCTGCCACAGTGTATAAAAATATAAACATGCAACTACCTTCTTTTTCATTTCATGTACTGACAACAAGTAAGCAATCTAGTTTCTAGAATTTTTTCACCTTTTTATCTAAATTCCGAGCTTCAGCATCTATGGATACAACTCTGGTGTCTTTAATCTCTTCTGCAGTAATCTGTAAATTCAAGTAAAAAGTACAAAATTGGTTTAAGTGAAGTCTTGGAAAGCTTTTTTAAAATGTATACAAACAACAGAACACTGCATAAATTATATAAAATCACGATTAAAGATAAAACGTATACCCCACTAACAACCACCAAGCAAACTAATCCTACTTTTCCAACATACAGTATAAATACCATCCAATGTCTTCCTCAAAAAATTTACACTAACTTTGCAAATGCTCTAAATATATTGATGTCCAAATCAAATGGTTTTTTCATATAAATAATAATGGCATCCAAAGTTGTTCAAATTTTTGGTCTTTCCATCTATCCTTCCACAGTTGAACAAATTCTATTACTTTTACCAATGAAGCAATGTACCATATCCTATCAATCCATTCTTCTATAAAAGGAATAATAGATAATTTCCATTTGCCAGCATGGATTGTATTATGGACAATGCTTAATTTGGGGTATTAAATATTAAAGGATGGCTACGTACAAAACACAAGGTACAGAAGCACATTAACATACTTCAGAATTAGCTTAACCAAAAGAAAAGTATAATTTCCAGATATACTGAAGTCTAAACAAAACAGCAGTATTTTTTACTCTCTGTAGCTTTAAACAAGCAATAAGTGATATGTCATAGCATTTTTTAAAAATTACCGTAACAGTGCCTTTTCCAGCAGGTTTGCCTTTCTTCAGCATTAAAGGCTGAATCAGAGTTTTACTTGACACAATCTAAAGATACAAATTGCACAAATTATGAACACCAGACAAGGAAGTGATATGTCCTATTCTATATGTTATATTGGAAAACTGGACTTCATTGAACATTATATTTACAGCAGAAATGTGAAGATAAGTATTTTAATGATCAAAGAGAAGCCTGTTAACATCCTGCCAACATGATAGTATCTACGCAATCTGAAATTTAATTATGATTTCCAAAAACACTGACCAAAATACACCTCAATCTAATTATACAAGTATAATGAGAAACAGATTTTAACATTTGCCTTACTTCAATGGCTGCTGCATGTTGTGTGCAGAAATTTGGAATGAAATATCATGACACCTATTACTAAAAAATCCAGCTTTTGTAATCTACCCAAAAATAAAGTGACAAAAATGCCAATGTTGGTAAGCCAACGTGACTCAGGATTGATGAAGGAGACATCCAGCCACTGCTAGCTACCTCAAAATGCTCCTTGGACACCTGTGATGTAGCTGGCACTGCTGTAGACCTGGGCAAACTTAGCAGCTAGGGATTTTTGTTGCTTTTGACAAGGCAGTCATTGGCTGGTCCAGCATCCATGACTGGGTCAGTCACCTGCACTCAGATGACAGGGTAACCAATGGGTTGTCAGAGTGCCTTACTGCTCTCAAACAAGCCACTGTGCAGGAATCAGTCCAGGATTGCACAATACAACAACCCATTATGCTTTGGTGTGTCATGCAAACCCAGTCAGCATCTACTTCCGGGCTGAGGGGAGGGACTGAAAAAATACCATTATAATGAATGTATATACAAATGTTGCAGTCACAGTGTACAAATGAGTAACTGACAGTTGCTGTGACTGCTGTCCGCCTTTATCCAGCAGTGAAACCAGCTCACAGAGTCCTGCGTCTCCTTCTCCTCTAAAATAAAGAGGTGGTGAAGAAGAAAGATGAAGGCATTCCTGTCTTTACTTTTACAAAGCTTGCAACAGTGCTTCTTTTCCAGTACCTGTCCCAAGGTGCATTCAGCTCCTCCAAGATAGTCATCATCACTTAAGTCATATGATTTGTTATCAATGTCATAAATACCAAATTTCACTCTTTGAACCTTCTCAAAATAATAATCTATAAGCAGTTTCTTCGAAAATTGAGGATTCTGGCAATTCTTTATTTTTTCAGTTCGATCCAACTGTAGCAACAAGAAAGAGAAAGTTGCTTAAGGGCCACATTATTTTACAAAAGACACACAGTGCACGTTAAGCAAGCTAATGGGTGTAATGCTGTCACTGTACCTCTGCTGTCTGCATTGCACCAGTGTGACCCACAGCAGCAGGCAGGTGCTTCCTAAAGTAACACTGGAAATGAGCTGGAATGGGATAGGTCAATGTAGTTCCCTTCTGCTAGCTTTAGTGACTTGCTGTGTTGCAGAACGGAACATTTTCACTTGCTCCTTTCAAAGGGCTGCCTGAGAGTCCTCTTACCCCTTTCCTTTCCCTCCCCCACTCCACTTAAGAACTTAAGTAGCAAACAGAATTGAGGTTAAAGTAATTTATAAACATTTTCAAGACTGGAAAGTTTGCAGTAACTAAAAACTCTCTAGTAAGCAAGCAATTTCGTGGTCATCATTTAGATAGTCATCTTTGTGATTTTTTATAGGAACTGAAACCTTTTTAGAAATGTTCCTATAAACTAAATACATTTGATGCTCAAATTTGTAAAGTACACTTCCTTAAAATTCATTTATATTAAAATTAATGTTGAAGGACAAAACATGTTTATATTCAATCTATGCCCTTCAGGATTGGCCAGCTTCTGGCAATTTTCCTATTCCTTGCACAGGAGGTGGTTGAGGCCCCATTTGTGAGGGTGTTCAAGGATAGGCTAGACATACACATGGTAGGCATGTCATGAGTGGAGCCGGCTAGAGCCGGGGGTCTGACTAGATGGCCTGGGAGGCCCCCTCTGACTTGCTCTGTTTCTATTACTACAAATAAGTCCTTACTTCAGTCCATTGGTCTCCACCAACGTTTTGGAGCAAGACACACAGAGGGTCAGATTTTGAGCCAACATCTTTATCAATTAGATTGTCACAGGCTATGGACAGTTCCACCTTGGTCATGCAGTGAGCCATCTGCAAACAAATCAAAAGGGGGGTGGTTAATACTCATTAAGCAAAATGTGTAATATTGCATTCTGCATGTAGAATTCACATTAACTTCTATACAGAAGTGGTTTTTCATTTAGGAAACAGGAAGATTGACCATATTTTTTAAAAGTGCACAGTCTAACGACATGTAAATATTTGAAAAGGAATAGCAGACAAGTGTTCATGTCAGTTGCAAACAGCTCTCACCATCTATTCACAAGAATACAGTGTTCCCATCTCTATTATCCTCAAAATACTGGAGCTGAACCACAATTCCTCTACAAATGCCAGTCCTAAACATACCAATACAAAATATGCCAACAGGTAAAATACAAACACAAGCATGGTTTGGCTACTGTAGAAATGAGCCCTGCAAATTGACCAGTTTGACAAAAGCACATAATAAACAGAATGGTTTTCACAATCTCAAGCACTACAAAGAAATTTCAGTTTAGTCAATTAAAATAATACTTCATATGGCCAGACCATTTTGTTCAGCTTACTCTGACATTCAGCACTGCTAAGGCAGCTTTAAAAATGTACAATGAAATTATTCCAACCTCATCCTTTGAATTAATTTTAGAAGAAATATGTGCATCAAATTAGTAGCTTGAATACATAAAAATAATGACTGAAAATGAAACTTCTTCTTTCAAAGAAACATATTTTACAGAAAAAGATACTTTAGTAATAGAATTATGTATCTCAGTGTCCACTTCAATATCAGCCAACACAATCACACAGTGAATAATATTAGATGTTATGTTAGCAATTTTATTAAATGGGTTTGGCAGATTGCTAACATGTCTATACATTAGCATTTTTTAAATACAGCTTTCTCAAAGCAGTTATTAATTTCAACAGCAGATTACTTGTCCACAAAAATTCAACACCCTACTGTCAGACTTATAACCACACCATGAGGTAATGTGCACAAATGATACTAACATGAACTGCCAGTATCATCAGCCAATTTACATAAGATAGTCTGCACTAACTTCTCAACAACAATCTGTACTAATACAATTCAGAGAACTGTATTATGAAAACGTGAAATAGTTCAAAATCACTACCATGGAGAGACAGAACAACACTGGTAATGAGTACCAGACACAACAAAAAGACGTCTGAAAGATCCTAGCAAAAAGACAACACTATATGCTTACACTGGCTGGCTGATCAATCAGTTCTGCTCCCATCCACTGTTCCTTGGCCTTCAAAGTTCACAACGTTACATCGACAGCAGAAACTGCCGATGATAAGATTCCCTTCTAACACAACACCTAAGGCATGGGAGCTCTGTCAGTGGGCAACTTGCCGCCATCCAGAAATGTTGGCCTACAACTCCCATCATCCTTTAACATTGGCTATGTTGGTAAGTGCTGATTGGAGATGAAAGCCAAAACATCTGGAGGGTTTCCACAGTTGTCCACTTCTGAACACAATTCTTCTTGATTTGTAGTCTCCAGTTTGTTCACTTCCTTCTTGCCAAGAAGTTGTAATCTTCCTTCAAGGTTTTGCTCTATTCCACATTCTCCTTGCTCCCAATTTCTCATTCACTTAAATTAAATTTAAATTAATTCAAATTTATCAGTTCACTGCCAACATTATTTTATGACCACTCTTGCCATAAAACAACTCTTACTCTCCTGACAACTTCTCCTTCCTTTACATAAGTTTCAATGTCAACATGCTGTGGCTGACATGAAGCTACAATGTTTGCAAACTTTCTGTGCCACACCAACTCACCCTACTACTATCACAGGCTTTATTGTTATAAGCACAATGCAACATAAATACCACCAACCATTCATAAAATTCATATATGCATCAGACATGGTTAATATGAAGAGACCAGAAACATGCACAGGGCGGTAGGGATCGATGCACAAATACTCTTAAATTTTAGCCTAAAACTAAAATGAACAGCATTGTTAACACATTGTTCATCGGGTCCCAAATCTCTACTACTTTTTTATGGATAGGTGTTAATTTCATACAACACTTTTGAAACTGTACTGGCACAGGCTTGCTTGCTTGAAGAAGTGAGCATCATCTTATAATATTGTGGGTGATAAGGGTCTCAACATCCCTGGACCAGCCTGATAATCACATCACTCAAGGGAAGAGTTTGGGCATGCTGTGAAGAAGGGAGGATTAGATGTTGTGGGAACTGCCATTTAGAAGTGAGAAAAACACATGGAGTTCAGGCAGGATGCTAGGAAGGAGGGAAGCAGCAGACAATATTGAGGGAGGCAGCAAGTGCATTGACAGGGTCCGAATCAATTTTAAGCAGGTTCTCTGGAGTTATCAATGGATTTACCTGGTAACAGCAGAGTATTTGAAAGCCTGGAAGAAAAGGAAGGCATGGTCCTGTAATGACTCATGCCCTATGAGCCAGGTATTCACTTTGATTACCATATTCTACTGTCCTGTTCTCAAACTGCCCACCCTTGAAGCAACGGTCATCCTTATAAGCTACCTGGAAAACTACATTAGTGAATGTTCATTAAAATAGATACAAAAATTAAGATATCCCGCCCACCCCCTGAGATCTGCAGGAGAGGCCCTTCTCCAGGAAACCTCTGTGAAGGAAATTAGGAGGGTGAGTACTCAGAGGAGGGCTTTCTCTGTGGTGGCGCCCCATCTATGGAATGCGCTCCCCAGAGAGGTCCGCCTGGCGCCATCGTTATTTGTTTTTCGGCGCCAGGCGAAGACCTTTTTATTCAAATGTCATTTTAACTGTTAATAGTATTTATTTATTTCATTCTTTGGCCAGGGCGACTTAATTTATACTGTTAATTTATATTATTTTAACGAAGTTTATGTCTGTGAGCCGCCCCAAGGCTTCGGCAAATGGGGCGGCATAGAAGTTTCCTAAATAAATAAATAAATAAATAAATAAATCCTTTGAATTCCACAGTGCCAAAGTCAGCCTTCTGGGACAAACTGTGTTCCTTGGAATCTGAACATAGTAGAATGGATTTTTCCAGGTTCCCTTTATCTGAATGAATGAAGAGCCTCCTGGTAGCGGTAGCAGATTATGCCATTTGCTCCTTTCTCTTAGGAAAATAAGGGCCCTAGGAATAGCACTAATGTCGGTGAGCTTTGGCACCTGAGGTGGAATACCTGAGGATGTTAACCTATGAGCAGCCTTTACTATACTAACAGCACCATTATGTTGCCTCCCATAAATTGAATAGTTCTGAGCATCTCTGTGCATATGGCTTTTTCAAGTACTTTAATAAAGTCTTGAAGCACGTATAATGAATTTCCAACCAGGACCATTCTCAACTACTGGAACATAATTCTTGACCTGGTATGGTTTGTTTTTCATGAAGCCTTACAGGCCTTCCTGGCACTACCCTCACTTTGAAATTCTTCTCAATCTCTCTCGTAACTAATGATCCTCCCTACAGTAATCTTGGGATAGGATAAACTAAGCTACTCTGGAAGCTTAGATAAAGTTAGGGGAAGTGTTTACAGACTGAGTGTTGGATTTGTACTTAAAAGCCTCAATGTGAGTCAATGCAGTGCAGAGGTTAGAGTTGCTGACTGCGAGCTGGGAGATTCAGGTTCTGGTCCCCACTTGGCCACGAAGCTCATTGACTGACTTTCACACAGTCATAGACTTGCCTCAAAAGGTTGTAAGTTACCTCACAAGATGGTTGTTGTGAGGATAAAATGGAGAAGAAGAGAACTCTGGGTTCTTTGCAAGAGAAAGAAAGGCAGGATATAAATGCAATGTAGTAATAATAGCAATAATTAGGACCCACACTAAGAAACAGGCCTTGATCAGGAAGAACTGCATGCCTTTCATCTTAGAGATATACTTTTGGTAGGACAATGGTTTATCAACAGATTTTATATATCCAAAATACCTTATCTGAATTTTATGTGGGGCTGGCATGAAAGCAGCCCTTCTTTGAATTTACCAGGGAGAAAAATTGAGGACATGAGCCAACCTCTACTTTCAAGCTAATGGGAGTAACTCTGTAGAAAGAGTTCTACAAGAAGAAATCAAACATGAATGCTTCACAGTTCCACTAATGCAAATCCATAAGAAGTTTCCATAACACAACTTCTATAATCCAAGATACTCTTGGATAGCACTCTTTGAAGAAGGATATGATGCCATTTTATAATGTTGAATATAGACTGTTTTACAGAGATATAATATATATATATATATATATATATATATATATATATTCACACACGTTATAGACTACAGCCAACATGGCTAATAGTCAAGGAGAACAACAACTGTAGCCCAAAATATCTGAAGGGCACCATGTTTGAAGAAGGCTGGAGTAAGGAGTTCCAGTGCATATTAGATTAAAGCATTACTGTGAAATCATGAGGTTGACTTATTGTATATGCCCCACCAAGACTGTCGGCTCAACCAGTTGCTGTGAAGATTTCCAGCAAGAAAATGCCTACCCCTGTTCCTTCTGGGACAGGTGGGAGGAAGCTTCCTCTTTATTAGTTCTCACAAAGGAAAATCAACTATTCCTGTTATCATCCTTATAGATTACTGCTTTTGACCTGCATGAAAGATGCTGTCAAAAAGCCATTCAGCTTATACGAAATGAGAAGGGGAGGTAAACTGCTGATGAACCAGATCTTACCACCTCTTTTCTCACTTGCTGCAACATATTAATACAGTCTCCCCAGCTTGGGTCCCCTCCTTATATTTTGGACTGCAGTTGTCATCATGTTGATTTTTATGTTGATATTTTGTCATAATTTATATTGATATTTGTATTTTATTTATGTAAGCCATCCAGAAGCTTTTGCAATAGGACGGCATATAAATATCATAAATAAATATAATTCCTGGAAGGCAGCAGGTTGAGGAACAGAGCTGTAAAGGAAGAGAGCTGAAATCCAATCCATAGAATTGCCCACTGCTTGTATTAGGAATTTCAAGGTTTTTATTGTTATTGTTATCATCATCTTCTTTGGGATAAAAGGGCCTTAAC